GGGCTCCTCTATCATATCTATAAGCTTGTATAATTTACAATATTTTTTGTCAAATAAAAATAAAAAATTGATTTATCACTTCATGTGGCATCTTTACCTGCAATATATGTTACTTACAATAGCATTCTTCCTGACTTTAATTTGCTTTGTGCACAGCACTGTTGTGCCAGCTTGCAGCACTGCGATCATTTTCACCAGAAAGATTGCAATACTGGAGGGAGAGAGAATCTGGCATGAGCTCTGTAGCTTACTTCCTTGCAAGAGACACTATTGATCATTTCAACACCGTGGTTAAACCAATTGTCTTCCTCTCAACATTTTATTTCTTCAACAATCCACGGTCTACACTTGGAGATAATTATTTGGTCTTGCTTGCGTTAGTTTACTGTGTAACTGGCATAGGTTATACTCTTGCAATTTGGTTTGAGCTGGGGTTAGCTCAGTTGGTAAGTAGGCAATTATCAAATACTTTACCATTCTATGGAAAATCCAAATTACAGGAGGTGATTTAGCTTAATGAACTTTGCTCTTGCAGTGTTCTGCATTGCTACCTGTGGTACTGGTCCTGGTGGGCACTGACCCAAAATTTCCACAATTTATTAAACAATTCTGCTATCCCAAGTGGACACTAGAAGCTTTCATTATTGCTGGAGCAAAAGAGTTAGTAGTTTCTCCCTCAATGTTGTTAGTATTTCCCATTTCCTTAAGCAGCAAATCGACACTCGATGAATAGTAAAAGATGAGTTCTTGTCATTCAATTAAGCTTGTCTGCAGCACAGGCTAGGCAACATTAACTCCTAGAAAAGCATATTGAGCTAATTGTTCATTCATATCTATATATAGAAGAAAAAGATCCTGGGTTTCATAATAGCTTGAAACTGCTAAAAACTGTTTGGTGGAGTGAGAAAAATATAATATTTTCACATGCAAGTTGTTGCAGGCAATGATCACCCCGGCATATACTGAAAATTGTAACTAATCCTCTTAGTGCATATGTATTTTTATTTTTATTTGGTACTAAAGTCTCTAGAGTAAATTACTAAATATCAGCAGTTCCTCGTTCAGTTGCCCTGTAGAAATTTTAGGTAACCAGGCCCCCAACTTTTATAAGTCCAGTACAAATGTTTCTTCTGTTAGTATAACAATCAAACTTAAAGCCTTTTACCCTTTATCCTAACACATATTCTTACGGTATTACCCTTCAGGTATTCTGGTGTATGGCTGATTACTCGATGTGGAGCACTGCTAAAAGGTGGTTATAATATCAATTATTTTGCAATCTGCATCGGCATTATGATGCTTAATGGTGTACTCTTCCGGTTTGTTGCTCTGCTTAGTCTGTTGAAGCTAAGATAGACGTAAGTATGCACATAATTAGGTTTTTGTCAATTTTTCTTCTGCTTTCATTTCACTTAACCTGGATATGTGGATTATGAAGGTTCTTATCATCTCGCGAACTAAAGAACAAGGGTGTGTTCTCTTGAATATTCAAGATTCAACTGCTGCGGAATTTGTATATAACAAGGTTATCACATTGGTAGAGTAGAGATCTCGAGAATATATGCAGATTTGTAATTATTATTCTTGTCCATAAGCTCTTGGGGGAATCGGGCCTACATAGGTAGCATATATGTTTGTACACTTGCTGCCCTTCATTTCTCGAATGCAAATGTAATCTCAAATTGTCCCTTTGTATTTTATTTTGCTGTATGAAAAGTGTGAAATCCAGTTCTACTAGGACAGAAAAGCAGTCTGGTCGTTTTAATACATTATCCACATTTCTCTGGAACACACACTTACCTTGGATTCTGCGGAAGGTGCAACTCTTTTTTTATTGAGAAAGATCCTTGAATGTATAACAAGAAAAAAAAACACAGATAAAAACACACACACACACATACATATATATAGGACTCATTTTCTGTACTCCTTGAGAGTATGTACTCCCATATTCAATATACCTCGTATATGCATTGACTATACCCCTTTATCATTCTCAATATACTTCATTAAATATTCTAAGATACCTCAATACGAGTTTTGTTGAAAAAATATCATTTGCGACCTACTTTTTGTAATATACCTTTTTCACGTACAAACAAATCAGTATATACGTAAACCTTTTGAAAATATGAGGCACACATGATTTTTTTTTCATGAAATCCATTTTAGGGTATCTAGTAATTATCAATGAAGTGTATTAAAAATAATAATGAGGTATAAAAGATTCATCTATGTGGTATATGAGGAGCAAGAGTACGTACTCCCATAAGTATATTAAAAATAATAATGAGGTATATATATATATATATATATATATTTCTATTTCTATTTCTATTTCTATTTCTAAAGGCTCTTGATCTTATAACACTGTTGTGATCTTCTATTTCTAAAGGAGCAATGCTACAACTACGCACAACTTTTTCGGGAGGTGACATACAGGCTGATGTGGGCTGTTTTGATT